TCAAGGGTCTTAAGTCTTGTATTTCCAAGAAATTGAATTTTTCATGAACATCGTCATATTTTAGGGTACCATACCCCCTTAAAGTTAGCGACAAATTCGCAGCTGCAGATCCCAAACGAGCTTTGTGAAAGTACACATTTTTGCGCTACAAAAACAAACCAACGATCCGTGACCACATCACAATACTCCTCTCACGATTGGTCATCTTGGCACTCTAGCCCAGTCTAACCACCTCAATGCGAACCTGCATGCACTAGGAATAGGAAAGACAAGAAAAAAGGCTTGTCTCATCGTAAAAACAGCCGAAAAGCAGAAAAATGTAATAGACCTTCGTAAATATAGCTTCTTCGGCGGCCATTTTGAAATACGAGCCAAGAAATAAGCGAAAAAAGGTATTGTGGGATTGGTGGCGGACCTCCTCAGCTTCACACAACTGAAATGAGCCAAACCAATTGCGAAGTCATCCTATGAAACGCAATGAACTTAAACAAGCAAAGAACTCTTCAGAAATCAAGAATTTGTTTCACGTTTCGAAGACACGCCGCCATGATGCTACCGTGAGCTCGGTGTACTTTTCGAATGATAACGTCACAAGAAAACGATAATATACTTCATTGGCGCAAGGAACTATGGGTATTTTGCAAAGATTTGTGGGATTGGTAACCGACCTCCTCTGTGAACATAGCGTGGGTTTTGATAGGAATGAAATACATTGCGCCCTAAGTATTCAAAACAGTATGAGTTTCTATTCCTTTAATTTAACTAAACTGTTTTATTTAATGTAAATTCGATTCCCGACAAATGAGATTTCCTTAAAGACAAAAAGCAACCGACGAAAAATTATCTAACGATAGAGAAAATATATAGACCGATTTAAAAAATATCTCGACTAATTCAAATTTTTCTTGATTACTCTGACTAAAGTGTGATCTTGACAAGTTATAATTTTGAACGACATTGGCTTTGCATGGCGTTTCAGCTGGAATGACCCGGCTGAACACGCTCTCATATAACTGGACCTCACAAATAATCTTGACTACTCAGTTCTAGTAAAAGTTTCCAGAGATGTAGCTGGTAGTCTAGTCCTTGAAATAAAGGGTGTATTTTTCCCAACGCAGTTCTTGTCTTCAGCCGACTCTCTTAGGACCTGTTTACAAGGAGGGAGGGTTACCCTAGCAAGCGGGTTAACCCTAGCTGGAGGGCAAAAGATAGCCTGGGTTTACAAGCAAAATTTTACAGTTAGGGTAACCCTACAACCCGGAACAACTTAATTTGCGGTTACACTCAAAGGGTCTGGAAACAATTAGAAAGTTGACCCGGGTAGGTGGGTTAACCCTACCTGGACTGTTTACAAGGGAAAAAGTTAACCCGCCTGCCAGGGTAACCCTAGCACGCAGATAGGGTAACCCGCCTACCGGGGTAGCCCTGGCTGCCTTGTAAACACGATGAAGAAAAAAAGAGGAAATGTGTGAGTGCTAGGGTACCCCGCCTTCTAGTGTAACCCTCTCTCCTTGTAAACAGGCCCTTACAGAGCAATTGCACTTGTAAACCGGTGGATTACAGTACGTGCAACTTGAGTCCGAAAGGCTCCTATACGAACAGCACAAACACAAAGAAACCCAGCCACAAACAGCGAACCAGTGCAGATTGTAATTTCAGTGAAGTTTATTTGTAATTTTTCTTGAAATTCGTTCACATGAAACACGAAATGACAGCTAAGGTACCAAAGAGAAGACTTTATCCCAGCACACCATGACACAAGACAATTCTTCCGTAACGGGTCTTTCCTGAGTATGCATGCACGGTAAATTCAGTTTAAAACGGGATCTTGGCTCTAACGGGCCCCTAAAATATTTCTACTTTGGCTATCATTAAATACTATCCTAAAAAATGTTCAATCTGTTTTGATCCTATAAATACCTATCACGTTCAAATCCTTCGGCCCGAGCTGATCATTTGAGTGAGATCATTTGAGGTCAATTGTAGATATAAATATTATTGTTTTGGCATTGTGAAATCTTTCTTTTTAAAAATAGATGAATAACCGAGTATATATTGCAAAATCTTTCCAACAACGTTTGTTTCATAGGATTTTTTTCATCCACCCCTGAGAGTCTCACACCGCTCTTTCTTGAAAATCTTACGGCTCTTCAGTTCGTCCATGAACTTTAATTCAGTTTTCTGCCGCGGACCTGAGAAAAAAGTGAAAATATATGTTAAACCACAATATTTTGTGCTGGTAAACGGCTCCTCCCTCCCTCCCTCTCTCAAGTCCCCTCATTCCAAACCAATTCTCGGGTCAAGCTGCAATGGACTAGTAACCCATTTCATTCAATGATTAATGCTACTGAAAACCAGGATCAGTTCGGCTAGCAATTGTGACTCTTCCACTTACTCCTTCGTGAGGACATTACACAGTTTCTGCAGCACATTAAATATGGTTTGAGCCCCGTAGCATCGGTAGTACGTATAATGTGATTGTCTGTGTGAGGTTAAATCTGAAAAGAACTGTTGTTGGTGACTGACGTTTCGACAACCTGAGTGGAAGCCATCTTCTGAGTCAAGTTAAAGGTGTTCGTCACTCGACGTCGTCTGGGGCTTTGCATAAGATGGTATAAATATTAACCACTGAAGCGTTACCTGTTTTCTCTATAGGGTACTCTGTCCCTTTGATTTGGAGGTCTTTTGTTTGTTGTGTTTCTTACTTGGAACTGAAGACTTCTTTAAGGCAGCAAGACCAGGCTGCGTGTTGAACTGGGGTACGTGCATGAAAGTAATAGTGAAAAAATCAATTGGTATATATGGTACAGTTTCTATCACAACAAGTCAGCCTAGTTAAACCACACTTACCCGGGGTGACTCCATCATTCCACTTTCTTCAGGGACTTGGTAAAACGAGGCCATTTCCTTTTGGGGGCCCGCAATGAAAGCTTGTTGCTGCTCAGATCCGGGTCCTTCTTCAGGAAACATTGGCTGGGGCTGTGGTCCACCCAGACCGGCGAAACTCGAAGGATTGAAACCTGCAAATTGCTCTGAAGGAAAAAAAGAAAATGAAAGTGACAATTTTTTCCTCAATTCACGGTACATAAAAGTATGAATATTCTCTGATATTGCTCCTTTTTCACTTTGTGCTTGTTGACCTTTACGCTGAACCGTTCAACTATACTTGGAAATAGTAGTACTCGTTTTCAACAGAAACCGGAGTTGGTTTAAACACAATCAGTGGTTGAACCTTTTGATGGAGTTGTCACGTACCATGGCATAAAATATAAATCAGTACGTATACGTATACCACCTTGCAAATGTTTAAAAACATTTCAAAAAGACGTTCAAATGTTGTTTATAGTGGTCAATGCTCTTAGCCACACCTAGATAGTCAGCACAGGCATGCCACTTAAATTGAAAGAAACAAATATGCCAACTAAACATATAATAGGCTTACAAACATGACTGAGGAGTTGAACTAGGGTCTACCGAGAAACAATTCCAGTTAAGTTGTCAGAGGGGGACTTGAACCCGTGACCTCCGGATTTGAAGTCCAGCGCCCTGACCACTCGGCCACGCTGCCTCCGATCGTTTTCGATGGCCCTCCCCTTCAGAAAACAGCAGTGCGCCAATTGATCACAAAGACCATGATGATCAAAACAAAGGAATACTGCCCAGCCTACCTCCATTCATCTGTAACGGTCCTTCACTCTGTTGCATTTCTGGTACTACAGGCTCTGGATTTCTTTCAAAAGCTTGTGGATATCCTACATAATTACAAAGAAAAATAAAATATGACATTTGTGTGTTTGCACTAAGAGCTGTGTTGAGAAGCTGAAACTTTGTAGAGTATGTGTTTCATCTCGTACGCTCCTGCAGAAGTTAAAATGAACCTGTAACGGCGTTTTATCAACGATAAGCTCATAGTATAATGTATGAATTGATTACGCACTGGGATGAGTTGGTGGGAAAGGTTCTTAAACAGACATAAGAATAAGTCTTGTTTTTGAAAATAAACATGATTGAAAGAGGCAGAAAAGTTTACGTGTTGATGGGCTTCACAGCGCAGGCCAGATCAGTAAGTGACCAGTTTGAATTTCACACAGCATTTGTTCACACTGAATTGGACGTCAAATAAATAGTGACTAGTGAACATGAAGGTATTTCGAGAACGTAAACAGAAACAAATAGCCCTTGTTGTTCCGCGTGCTTACCTGACATACTTTGCCTCACAGGGGCCCAAGGACTGCTGGGAGTGCCCCTGAAAAAATTAGCATTCTGGAATTGGGGGACTTTGACAAAAGGGCTGTTTTGGGCCGCGTATGGAAAACCACTAAAAGGTGACATCATAGGCATTCGCCTCACTCCTAAAGTCTCCAATTTCATCCCTGATAAACGGGCAGGGGCCGGTTTGGCCTGAAAAGTAGGAAAGGCGCTTGACTTAAAAGCCATCGGTTGTTGCGTCTGTGCTAGAGGAAACGAGGGAAAAACCGGTGAAGCAGGACCCGCGAAAGGTGCAGTTGGTAAGGAGAACGCGGGTAATAACCCGGAAGGAAATGCTTGAGGTATGGCAGCCAGAAACTGTCGCTTGGTGGTCTTGCTGTGCTTCTTTGAAGATTTCTTCGAGGGTGATCGTTTCTTTCTTTGGGCCATGCCTGTAAGAATGAAAATGTGACTCTAATTATCAATAATATAATCTCCTAGACAGTAAGCCAGTGGGTCAGTGAGTCAGTGAGTCAGTGAGTCAGTGAGTCAGTGAGTCAGTGAGTCAGTGAGTCAGTGAGTCAGTGAGTCAGTGAGTCAGTCAGTCAGTCCGTCAGTCCGTCCGTCCTTCCGTCAGTCGGTCAGTCCATTTGTCCGTCCGTCCGTCCAGGTAATGGACAAGTCAGTTAGCCAGCCAGCCAGCCAGCCAACAGCTAGTCGGTCAGATAAACGAACGAACTTATACCTACTATTCCCATCCCAGGCTGTGCAGATATCGGAATACTTATACCAGTCATACTTGATAACTGACGTGAAAAGGCCATCTGTGATGGCGTCAATGCAGGGCGCATCTGCGGGGCCCTAATTCCTGCGAACCCCAGTGGAGATGTTCCAATGACCGATGCTGGCATAGCAGGGAGCCCGGAACGACTCATAGCGTTCACATTAAATGGCTGCGATTGTTGTAGCGATGGATACATGCTGAAAAGTGAGGCACTGCAAATCAATTTGTGAAAAACGTTTCTACGTTTTATAAATGGTTTTTGTTTTAACATAGAAAACGTACTTCAGTTATCCCAAGAGCCAAAATAATAAAATTGCCAGTTCAAAGAAATATAATGACAAGGAAACGATAATGGTTTTAGAGTGGCTTTCCAATTTATGTCTTCTGTTATAACAAAGAGTATGAGAATCAGTTAGTGGCTAAGCAAGTCAGTCTTGAGAAATGAAATAGACAACCGGACCAAGAGATTTATAAATTTGACGTCCCTAATATAAGTGGTAATGGGGGTGGGGAGGGTATGGTTTTCAGGGATTCTGTCTTGCATGAGGTGAACAGTGTCACGTTTTTCTAGGTCGTCAAGCAGATTATTTCCCGGGGGGAGGGGTTCCCTATAATGGTTTATACTGGGAGGCTCAGCCCTAAAGGAGTACCTTTTTCAGACACAAGGTATATAAAAGGGCAGGGATTTCACTAGTTGAGGTAAATGAACAGGTAGGGAAATCTGTCATTTAAGTATTTTTAGGATTTGAATTAAAGTATTTGGGGTCCCTAACCTTTACTGATTTTCCTAATAAATGCACCCAGTTAATGAGACTGCTTGCATTGAAATTGGGATAAAATAAATGAAAAACGGAGATACAAGCTAAAAAAAGTTGTTAAAGGCAGCAACTGTCAGGTGTATTCATTGCAGTGCCGACAGAGTCGATGGAAGTCAAATTATAAACAATTATTGGATGAGGTTTTTGTGATATCCAGAATAATAAAGGTCGAGGTAGGGGTTATCAGCCGAAGCCGAAGGCTGATAACCCTTACCGAGACCTTGATTATTTTGGATATCACAAAAACCGAATCTAATAATTGTTTTATTATACATTGAAGGAAAAAAAATGAAAGTAATGTTTTTGCTTCTTCGACTGACGGCAAGCAACACAAAACGCGCGAACTTGACATGATTACCCGTGACCTTGAGTGTCCTTGACATGATTATTGTATAATCTGCAGAGATGACGTCACAGGCGCTGATTTCGAAAATTCACTGTCCGCTTTCGACCAATCAGAAAAGAGATAGGGAGTTCAATGTATAATAATACCTGTGATTAGTGTCAATCATGATTGAGCCAACTCTTTGACGCGACCACGTTTTACTGTGTGGTCTGTCAGTGGTTGTCATGGGCCGGTTTTTGTACCAGTTACACCTTCTAGACATCGAGAGGATGTCATTTATGTGCCGTATTTTCTCACGAAAACCGGAAGAAAAAATGCACTTATTTCTCATTTGTGATTGGCTCTCTGTTATGTACGTGATAAATCCAAAATATAATGTGTGCCACCTGACAAGAGCCAGCAGACATTCGGGTCATTCATCTGACATTTTTGGTATCAAATTTGATATAATAGCAACTTACCTCCTTCCTATAAGGCTCGCAGTGTTGGGGGCTGGGTATCTACAACGAAACGGTCGGGGTCAGGAACATTTATCAAAGTGCCAATACTCTATTGAGTCAAATGAAGGTGAACTGTTTAATCGGTCGTTCGTGAAAACTGAAACATTAATCAAAATGGCCAAGCCCTCTTTTACAAGTAAAATGATATCTTTGACAGTAAACTTTGTGGAAATTAATTGGAACGTCCACGTTACTCGAATAATAATATCAAAATGGTTTTTACTAAAGAACTATATTTCGTGTAAAATAAGGATTCAGCGACTCGTGTTAAGTCCATAGTTGAAAAATAACCTTGAGGTTATTTTTTTATATGTCAGGAGGCAAGTTGATCTGCAGATGTTCAATCATTCAGATTCTATTTTTGATTTTTCCTGTATTTGTATTTTTCGTCAATTGTGTTTCGGAAACTATGTCAATGTGATCCATTTCTTTCACTGTGAGAATATATTGTCACATTTTCTGAACAGTTATAAAGTGCACCGACATTTGACTCAAACGAGCATGCGTATCTACAGCGAGAATTGGAATGGCGCATGCGCAGAGGAGGTGGTTGTCAGGGTGGGGTTGTTTTGATGTTGTCAGCGGAAGAGGCGTCATAATGCATCCTGCTTTGGAACTTTTCTTTCGTTCCTCGAATTTGAAAGGATATATTGTAAATGTTTTCGATTGTGTGTGGCATGAGGCATTCCCTTTCTCGCAATTTTAAAACTATATTTTAAGAAGGTATTGTAAATATTGAAAAATTTAACACGTTGATATGTACTGAAACATTTGAATTTTCATCGTGCTTGCCGAAACTGTTCAACTAAACACATGCCTTTTTATCGAAAACGTTTACGTGCTGCTTTTAAGCAACGCACAAGACATTTTGGATAAGAAGTATCACTCTTGGAGGTATTTTAATAGTATTTAATTTATCTATAAAATTACATCAACGTGATTGAAAGGAAGATGTTTTAACGCCTCATAAAAAATTTTATACTGTTGTTTTACTTTACTTCTAAGTCAGGTATTATTTTTTTAAATGCTCATCAGCAATTCGCTTAAAAGAAACTTGGCAAGCAACAGCGTTTTTTGACTGTGTTTGCGAAATTATAAATTACTTTAACATCACGTTAAGGTATGGACCTCAGAGGAGGTGCAAATCCCATTGGTCGGCTCATGGATGGAGACATAAAAGACGGTATCTGCCTTTTGGCCACTTTTTTCCCATGGGAAGATTGGCTGTGTTTACTCTTGAATTTCAACTTGTCTGAGAACTCTCCGACCAGTTCTTTCAGTTTGCCTCTTCTCTGAAATAAAAGTGGTGTAGATAAAGAACGTAAATATTACTACAGACTGGGGGTTAACTGGAGCTTTGCATTAATTCTTAATAGGGCCTGTTTCAACAACATTCATTGGCGTTTTCTAGAGGGATCGGACGAAGTCCCATCAATGTAACCATCAATGTAATTTTTTACGTATAGCCATTAGCTTAAAAATCATCTTTTAAACATAGGTATGACAAAAAAGCTATTCATTGGGGGAGCTTCTACTGACTGTAAGGTAGCTGAGCATGTGTCGCTAGTCAGATTGCGAGGTTGCCGGTAATCAAATAGCCATTGGATTATGGTAAAACAGCTATGTAAATCCTGAGTAACACTTAGGTCTTGAGTAGTATATGTGGCTGGTGCGAAAGGGAAATTAAAATGGCTCAAGAGCTAATGCGTAACAAATGCAGCATTTTTTTTATGTCGATTGGGAAACCCGACAAGATTGAACAGTTGACATAATTATGACAATAATGAGCAGAGTACCCGACATACTGTAAGCTCGGGCTAAAACGTAATAGTTATCAATGCACACCTGTTTTTCGGGGCTGTGGGCAACATGTTCCCGTGTCGTGTGAACATCGACGTTAACATTGGGTGCTCCCACGTGAATGGAGTGCGTGGGTCGATCATGGTATGTCGCTAATGGCTGAGGAAAATACCCAGTATGCGCCAGTGGATACACCGAAGGGTAAGCCATCAGGTGTTGCGCCTATACGAGTGTTGAAAAGAAGGAAAAGCATAAAATGCATAGGCCATTACTCGGTTGTTCACACTCCGGAGAACAAACGCAATTTTCATTGATATTCACTTAAGCACCCGGGGTGTTTCCAATCTCCTAGAAACATTGACGGACGAGTGAGAAATAATAAAAAATAAATAAGTAAATAAATAAAAAACAAAAAAACAACGATAACCGAAAATCTGCTTTCAAGGCGTATACCAATTAGCTAAGTCCTCAAGTCAATTAAAATTGTACGGTTGACCGAAGGTTTCCATAGACCGTAACATAATTAACATCCCGTTGTCTCGAATCATTGTGACTTGTAAAAGGGAACAGATATGCACGCAATACGAGAACCTTTGGAAGATTTACGAAGCCATACAATCCGCAAAAATGAAACACCTCATAGCGAAATCGATTGCAAAGGTTATCAGATTAGGAGAAAGTAACGGAAAAGATATGCCTTACATAATTTATTGGCGTAAAATGGTAATATGGATTGATTCCGTGTGCCATCGTGTAACCTGGGTAGAGGTAATGATAGGGATAAGCCACCGCCTGTTTCTTGGCTAGTTCTTCGTCCTCCTGACCAGGAATGTCAGCTCTACGTGAGGCAGACTCCGTGGTTTGTTCCTCTGCTCCAGTAGGGTACATGTTTGGATTTCCTAAAAAAAAAAGCGTATTAACAAAAATAAAGTAAATGAGAAATTTAATGTCACTAGGGACCAAGCGTCGTATTTTTCTCACTTTATTGGTTTACCTGTTTCGCCAAAAGACTCAACGGGTGCCTCTCCCTCACTTGAAGGACTCATATTGAAGCTGGACATTAAGTCTTCAGCAGATTGTTGTTGGCCATCTTGTTGTTCTTCCATGTTTCCCAGTGAGGACGGTTTGAGGTCATTTCCACCTATATCTGGGGTCAATCCTGTCATGGCAGCAACATTTCCAGGTGCTTCAGCTGGTTCAGGCGGCGATTGATCTCCATTAGATTCCATTCCTGGATTACTGAAACCTTGAGCTTCTTGACCGCCTTGGCTTGACAGACCCATGGGCGTTTGCAATTTTTCAACGCCTGGGAAGCCCATGGCCAAAGTCTGCATCTCTGAGTTCAGTAAGTCGGCGCCCTCCAGATGGGGACGTGTTCGTGGATCGTCTGATTTTCCCTCGTTACCTTCACCCTCTTCCGGACTCTCAATTTCCTGTCTAGATTTCCCTTTTTCCTCCTTCAACTCCTGTTTCTTAGGGGCTTTGGAACGTGTCCAGCATGGGCAACAACCACAGTGGTGGGAATGACATGGGAGAGGCCAGGTCCACCCACCGATAAAACCACAACCGGGATATACACATCCTCCCCATCCACAGCAACCAGGATTGTAGTTTATCACTTGCCTAGTCTGGGAGCTTTCTTCCGTATTTTCGGGGACATTTGACCTTACATATGGACCAAATGACCCACGGGGAGGTCCATAAGGACCATAATAACCTGCGCCATAAGGGCCATAAGTGTGCGCCCCTAACAAAGGAAAGACTCCGTGGTAGCCGTGACTCGGGTATAGGACCCCTCCCCAGCCCATCCGACCAGGATGAAAATTATGAACGAAGTGCCGGCTGGTGGGTTTTTCTTCCTTTTTGAGCTCTTTTTTAGATTTATCACTCGGGATCTTTGATCTGAATAAGCCAGGTCCTCCAGGTAAACCATAGCCGAAAGGACCTCCAGCATACGGACCGAGCCCATAAAATGGCGTGAAATCTCCATACAGTGCCGCTGGATAGGGGATGTACTGGCTATGTCCAAAGAAGGGATAGCCATAGTCTGCAAATGGCCCGTAACCATACCAAGGGAAGTCAATACCTCCGAATGGTTGGCGTATAAATCCTCGCTTTGGGCCTTCTTCCTCTTTGCTATCTTCGGTACCAGGAACATCAGAGCGGAAACCGCGACCGTATCCGTACCCCAATCCAAATCCATGCCCATACCCATGACCCAATCCAAATCCGTGTCCATAACCGTAGCCACCCCATCCATGACCCCAATAATCACCTAAAGGTCCCCATCCTGGGTAACCACTGTTGCCCAAGCCCCATCCTCCCCATCCACCCATGTAACCAGGCCACCAACGCTTTTGGACCTTATCCTTCTTCTCTTGTTTTCCAGGAATTTCAGCTCTCAGGAAAGGATGGTAGCTGTTACCAAAACCTATGCCCCATCCGTGGCCAAATCCACCGAAATCGTACCCATGTCCCCAGTCGCCTAAAGGACCCCATCCAGGGTATCCTCCATTTCCTAACCCCCAGCCACCCCATCCTCCCATATATCCCGGCCACCATCTCTTGTTTGCCTTAGAGACCCTCATGGAGGACCTGGTTTGTCCTTTTGATGACTCCTCGGGAACTTCGGAACGATACGCCGCATAACCCCAGGGACCAGGCGAGGGAGTGAATGGCACGGCAGCAAACCCTAAAGAGGGGTATGCGAATCCATATGATGGAAAGGCAAACGTGGGAAGCATATAACGCTTTAAAGATGCTTTTTGTGCTGACTTTTTAGAGTTCTTTTTGGAAATGTGTGATCTGTGCCATCCTCCAAGTGATGGATACCCAGTCCAACCTCCGTGACGCGATGGGTGACCAGCCCAATGAAATCCTGGCCACTGTGACACAGTACCCCAAGGGTGCCCGTGGTGATAGGCACCTAGGTGAAGAGCATCTATTATTTGTTTTTTGTTTCCTTTGTTTTCCTTGTGGCCTGAAAACAAGAGGAAATCTTGCTTCATTATAAAACTCACTAACTCCCTAGGGAGTAACAACTTGAACTTTCGACCAGCACGTGATTAGGACATGCTCCTTAAAACCGCGGCAAATTTGTGAGCCAGCCGGCGTCAAGCAGACGATTTTTTCGCGGTTTTTTTCTATTTTTGAGTTGTGAGGTATAACAAAACACTTAATGACTGGCCCCGCAGGAAACAGTGAGTTTTGTTTCCCCTCGACCTCAATGTTCCCCTCGGCCTCGCCTCGGGGAACATTGAGAGTCTCGGGGAAACAAAACTCACTGTTTCCCTTGGGGCCAGTCATTAAGTGCTTATTCTTAGCGTGCCAGTAATATTAGGCTTCATCTCGCTACTAAATTAATTTACAGGGCCAATAAGTATAAACCGAACTGCAGGCTGGACTTAGACTGCTCTATTGCTGGTCCAGTATTTTCTAGGTATTAGACTGTATGGACACTGCCCCGAACGATCCCGCGCAATTGTCTCTGTGGTAGTTTTACGGCTTGCTTTTCTAAAAGAGTTAACTTACAGGTAACGTTTTTCCTTTTTCTTCAAACTTTAGCTTCTTTGAGTCCTGTCGTTCCTTTTTTTGAAAGCGCCAGAAGTGAATATAAGGTAAGTAGACCTTCAAAGAGAACTGTGAATATCCGTGATGTTGGGATGTTTTCTAAACATTTTCATGCATGTCATAAACCTCCGATTAACTACGATATTTTTGGAATCGTATTGGGCGGAGAACATCGACTCTTGGCCCTTTTTTGTAATGACCTCCTTGCGCTCTGTCCGTACTGTCAAGATTGTTAACATGATTATCCTATCTGGTATTTACTTCATGAAGACACTTGAAGATAATATGGTCTTTATCTAAAAAACTGAGACAAACAATGGGTCCCAGTAAAACAAAACAGAAAATAATGTTTTGACACTAAATTGGAACGGTGAAAAAATTCCTCATAGCCATCAGAATTTCTCGGAAAATGTGAAATGTGTGAAGGCTTATATTCACTTGCAAAATGTGAAACGTTGAACTAATCGTCGACAAGTTCTTTTTGTTTCGCTTAGGCTTTGTAAATTAGTTGGTAAAGTTTACGACTAATGTAATTAAGATAAAGACTTCCGACGAGAATTCACTGAACCAGTTTAAGCTAACCTGGCTTCCTGAAAACAGCCACCCTCTCATTTCAACTTGACCATTAATTGCAAGCCATCTCTTGCAGGTGGTTTTGGTATTCAATGCAATTTGTGGATGTCTTGTTTGCTCCTATGATTGTCTTTTTTTGTTCATGGTAATATCTAAATGAAAATATTACTTTCTCGCCCGTGGAACTTTGAACGGCGAAATGTATCGTCTTTAGCGTGTTCGTTTCAATTAATAGTGACGCCACCGTATTTTTCACGCTTCTATTCGTTGTATTGTCAATAAGAAAATAAATACAAAAATCCAGAATCAAGAATAGAAAGATATATGTTCAAAAATATTTGTAATGTCATTGAGTGTTTTCTTCATGGATGCCGCCACCTTTGAGATAATTAACAAGCTTATCGATACGAAAATATCTCAGGTCAGAAGATAAAAAAGAAAGGAAAGAATAAAAGAGCAGCGTATTTAGCTTTTTTGGGGAGATGCATGTTAATGTAGACAAGGTGAACTTAACGTACAAACAGTTATTTAATTCAAAGCAATGACCTTAGTCTATTTTGTCGATGGAAACCAAGAAGGACTGTTCCATTTTGTCAAATGTATCATAATGGGAATTTAACCTAAATTAGTTCTATAAATAATAACAATATCAGTACCATTTATGTGTTGACCCTACATATAGTTTCCCAGTGAATGATTGTACTTGCAGGTGAGTTTTAAAAGGCCACAAACAAACTGTAAACGGCGAAGCATTTTTCATTTTACGCAAATTAGTTGTGAAATAAAATTCATACCTTTGTCTTGCCCGCCACTGTTTGTCTTCGATTTCTTCAACAGATCGCTTTCTTCGAATTTGTTTTGATCCTCCACTACAGTCACATCGTCAAAATTGTTTGGTCTACCTTTTATTTCATATATGTAAACGCAAAGGAATGCGGAAAATATCAGTACCTTCGATAGTGACTCCACCATGGTGGCTGAAGACGTCTTCTAGAGGCTTCCAATTTAAAATTGAAGGCCTCGATGGAAAAGCTACTTCAAAACCCCTCGGTTTTAGGATTAGTTGGTGAGCGTAGAATAACCAATAAGTTTAACAATTAAACGTGGCATTAGGCCTCATTTGTTCAATAAAAAATTAGCGCCTCTGCTATTGGTCAGTTTCGGCACGTGCAGGTCCATAAGGCTGCTTGTCTTGTCGACTAAAAGAATTTCTGATTTATTGGTACTAAATTATTGAGTTGTTGTGGCTCCCACCAAAAATTGTCTAAAAACGTTTTTCGATAGGGGAAAAACCTGTTACACATTCTTTTTGTGCATTTCCTATAAGAAGAGAAAGCAAAATGCTAAAAGAGATTTCAAATTCACTCAACCGTATCTACCACCATGACGACAGTTTGTCTTCATAAAAGGGAACCAGCAATTCTTGCGAGGTCTTTTTATTAGGGCAACCTTGAAATAAATGATTCACACCAAACATTGAAACAAACAAAGAGGGCAATTTAGCAAAGAAAAAACAAGTAGGACTGAAAATGAAACCTAAAATTCAAAGCTGCGAATGTTTTAATTCCACTCAGTAAAGAGAGTTTAAGTTAAGTCTTTTGGTATCCCGTTCTGTTAACCTCCCAGCTGTTGTCTCATGCCGCGAAGCGTATTAGGAGTTTTTCTGCCATAGGCAAAGGAATAATATTAGAGGAATTGCTGCTATCTTTGATTAGCTGATTAAATGAATTGCAGGTGATGCAACGGCCTTCAAAATCTAGTTCACTCTACTAAAAATATATCGAAAAGCCTTCTTGGCTTTGATTTACGTTACACAGTTCGCTTTAAACAAAAAACTTTTGTATGCGACTTGAAAAGGGAACATTTCCGCATAAGTGTCAAGCAAGTTTTAGCCTAGCATTAACTGTAGCAAATGAATAATGAGTAAATCAAAGTGCCAATTTATTTTCAGCTCAGTTCCTTTTATTTCGACCATAAACAAAGTGATGTCTTCGAGTGATTCACCCCACACTTCTTCAGTTGTTCTTTGTCACCTCAGTGGTCCTTCTAAATACGCTTTTGTTTAGGAAAATATTAAAAGATCGGCTCTCTTACAGAAACAAGGTGTGCAGGTCTCATTCGAGAACTTGATACAATTTTACAGGTGACCTTTCACGCCACTTAAACAGAGGACGCAATGACATAACATTACGTGGTTTCGGAAACTGTGACTCAGATGCTATAACATTAGGGAAAATAACAATTTTGTTTCCCCAAGCAAAGAGTAACTAAACATGAAGGCTGTTTTCTTGATAATTGTTTTATTGTTTGTGTTCGTTTTGACACCAGCTAAGCCAGTAAAAGACGACGGAAGTGGCATTAGCTCCAAGCACGAAGATAAATCAGACGTTGACGATGAGTTGGAAAATTCTGGTGATACGGATGACAACGAAGAAGAAGATGGCAGTACCACGGAGGAGCCGCGAATGAGACAAAAAAGAGACCTGGTCATGGAACTCGAAGATGAAGAAGTCGTTAAGGATTCTAGTGGAGATGACTTGAAACAAGAAGATGAAGATGATAGTGATAAAAAAGGGGACAAGCCCTTACCAAAAAGCGACCGAAAAAAAGTGGAATCTGATTCCGATGCGAAAGAATTGCAGATGCAGAATACTTTGGGAATCCAAGGACCTTTCACCATAACTGCATTGCAACCCCCTGGGTCGCAGAACCCATCCCAGAAAGGAAATAAGGCGGACCCATTTTCTTTGAATTTCTTAAGTCCGCCTGGTAATATCGAAATAACGCCACTGGAACCTTCGATTAACCGCATGAAAAAAGTCAGGAGAAGATGTATGTGTCCATTCCCTTGTGGACCTGCACACTCATTTGAGGTGATCGGATGCAGTGGACCTTACACCTTGCCGTGCGGTGGCCTCGGTTCTGGCTGGCCTGGTCTGGCGTGTGGAGGCTTGGGTGGATTCGGTGGCTTTGGTGGCCTAGTTCCACCCTATGGCTGGGGTGGATATGGCGGGTTCGGAGGACATCCCTTGTACGGAGGAGGATGTGGATATGGTGGATGTGGAGGATGTGGTGGTTGTGGTGGCTGTGGTGGATGCGGTTGCGGAGGGGGCTGCGGATACCCGCCTATCATGATGTGCTGTAAGTGACGAGTTTCAATAATTAGGCGTAAGATTTAACAGCTTTTACAATATCACATTGATTTTGATCCCACAACTTAAGAACTAACAATCATTAACTTGCATTTCAATATGGTAATTATTTGCAGATAAATTTATAAGATAGATTTGTGGTACACCAACAAAAAGTAGCTTTAAAATACCCAACACGAAATAACTTGTTTAAACAAACAATTAAACAAACATAAAAATGAACTGACAAACAAACGAACAAGCAAATGCTTTGATCGAGCATTTGTTGGTCTAATGTATATTGCATGCACGCCAAAGGACCGCTCAGATAAATTGTGAAAGAAGTGGCCAGCGTTTTTTTTATTATATTCCGTCAGTTTGCCAAGCTGCTATTGTGTCTCTATTTGGTAGTTATTGTAAACCGCACAATGTCTGCCCTACGTCAAAGTTTTAGGGAAGGACAAGGGACCAAGGGGTCTCCGAGCGACGATTAGTTTCTTCTTGAGTCTTCACCACTAAACATCTAGATCTTAAGATGCGGGTCCTGTTCCGTTCTGTTGGCTTCAGACCGGGTAATTTGTCTTGCTTTGATGGGATGGGGTGGGTTAAAGAGGGTTAGGACTTTCTTTGCTAATTGTGGTGTCTTTGTCCTTGTCAGGTTGTAAGAAGAACGGTGAAGATTCTGTAGCCGAAAAAGATAAAGCTAAAGAAAATGACTTCCCAAAGCCGAAAACAAATAACCGCAAGACTGTGTTTCCAGTACAAAGCCAAAAGCAACCTCAAGCAACTCCGCTGAAGGGAAATCAGCCACTACCAAAAATTCATTAACTTTAAATAACGGTTTAAGTATTTGTAAAAAGGATTTCGATTTGCCAGAGCGGTCACAGACAAGTAATTGAACCTACGAAAGTTAAAGACAACTCTTAATAACTCTAGGCAGGTGACGTTTATAAACCACAAAGATGTGTTAAATATTTCTTTCACGGCTTAATAACGAATTTAACTAGTCCGCTTTGTAACTGTAAAAATTTTAAGTTTGATAAATAAAAATAAATCGTATGAAAATAGCTGAAGCCACTTTCCTGTTCTGTACATAAGACGCAACAAAAGAAATCAGATTGTAGATCTCTCACTGATCGTCGACTTTTTAATTAATTTCCCGTGGTTGTGAAGTTATTTGAGACAAACATACTTTAATCGAATAATGTCTATACGCCTCAGTTCTGAGTAAAAAAAAATGAGGATGAAAAGCTAGTCAAGGAGTAACGTGTGCTTGCAACAAACGAAAAGAGGCTCATGGCATGATGGAAATAACATTCAGTTTAGCCGACAACTGTTCTAACACCTGTGCATAAAAATATCAGTCTTCAATGTATTCAGGGTCATCATTATTAGAGATAAGATATTATTTCTTTTGACATTGAACTAAACTTGTTAAGCTAGAATACAATTATTCTGCTTTGTAAAACTTGTCGTCATTTGAATTGAACAATTGTAATTAAGCTCTCTACTGCACTTTACACTGCTAAGTAGATTTCAGTGATTTGATACACAGAGTTAAAACTCCAGTTTGCTCTTTCCCACTCAGGTCACTAACACGCACGCGCAGCGCACGTGCTCCTTCACGAGTCAGACGCAGACGCAGTGTATATTAAAGCAAGTATTAACCTTTTTCTGCACTTACCTTGAAATCCCAGTTATACCCTTTTCCGCTCTTACGGGCTCACCCCGGGTCCCCTAGCAAGAAATATTCCACTGATAAACCTCAAGCCCCTTCCTTGTTCCCATACTCGTTTCTATATTCTCTTCCTTACTTTGTCGCAGATCATTGTACAACTTCAATTTGAAAAGTCATAACACAAACTCTACTCCGATCTTGACATACGACATGCAGCGACATCCAATTCCAAGGTTCTTTTTTAGCGAGTTTTTCAATTTTCCAATTTTCCTATCATATATTGGCTAAAACAGTCAATAATGTCTTCCATTTTAGATAACTCCTCACATTCATTCAGTTAGATTCAATTCATTTCTTATCAACTCATTCCGAACCTTTTCATACTGTTTTAACTCCCTTCACCCCAGGTTGTCAGCCCCTGCCGTTTAATAATCCCTCCTAAAACCTCTTCGGAAATTGTATAAGAGCGGATTAAGGTGTTTTTACTGCTCGTTCTTGCTGATAAAAATTGATTTTTAGCAGAAATTCTCTGAGATTTCCTCTACCTGAATGTCGTTGATTTAATTTACAAGCTGCATGTTCGTTGCTAATTAAAGCCCGGGGAGAAAGGAAACATGAATTTTTGCGAGTGGTCTCCTTTCTGGCACGATCGCCATTTCTGAACATGCGTAAGGAATCTTCCCCTTTGGTTTAACGATATTACTTTTTCGTGTTACTGGATATTCACGAGTAAGATTCGCAGTAAAAGTAGAATGCGTTGAGTAGCTATTGATACGGACAAAAATAACCAGTTTTCCTTCCTGATCGTAGCTGTCCGCGTTTGTTACGATCGGCGATATCGATTTGAATGTATGTGATTTTAGAATCCAAAGCTTCAATCACCGCGCTGATAATTCAACTTGAGAACATAACACCTTTTTCTTTTTGATGCTTGATGGCTTTCATTTTGAATAAAGAAATCAGTTGCGTGTTTTTCGGACTAGAAATGAAACGGCCTCAAGCCCAGTTAATCAATTGGCTTTCTGCTTTCGGGTAACTTATTATAACTCAACAACAACATCGCAATGGTACCAGAAAACGAGCCACACCCATGGCTTTGTCAGAATCGAAACGATTTCTGTTCTTCGGAATTTTAGAGTTTTCAGAAAACGATTTTGAGTGTCAAATGAAGACAAAAAAGATTTTGAGTTAAGGTACACATCAACGGCGATTGCTTTGTTTCTGTGACACAAGAAGTTTTCAGTAATATTTTTAATGCCTCAGTGACATCACCAAAATCTGTCTCTTTCATGATAAGAGATCCACACAGGGTATTCTTACTGCATGAAAGTGGCACCTGCTTCTTAAGATTTTCTGCTTTTAAGTAAGAGTGAAGAGGCTAAGAGTCCTCCTCTTTCAAAATGAAAGCTTTTACAGTTTGTGTATTGTTTGGGATTGTTTTCTTTGTGCAGCTGACACTTTCGTATGGCCGAGAAAACATAGATCGCCCGTTCTACGAAGGAAAACTGGACGCCACAGAACAAAGCATTCATGAAGATGCCAAGGAAGACGAAACGGATCCAGAGCACTCTGAACATGACAACGAAAACGTTGACGATGACGAGGAAGAAGAGAAAAACGTCTTAGACGAAAACGACAGAAAAAGAATGAAAGAAAATATTTCTACGAAACGTTCGCATCCTCAGGTCTGTCCTCCTGGATGGCTGTCACCGTGGGATTTTACTGATAATTCAAACTGTGGTGGATGTGGCTGTGGTAACTGCGGCTGCGGTGGAGGTTTTGAAGGTGGCATCAGTGGTAGTGACGAATTAGACGGTTGTGGCCATGGAGATTACGGATTCGGAGGAGGCTGCGGCTGTGGCTGTGGTGGGTGCGGGTGTAAATTTCAAGGCGGCTTCATGCGTCATAATGGTTTCGGTCGACGTATGCCGCGTCTATCTAACGACGGGCGTATTCAACACGTTTGGCTGAGTAAGTGTGAAGGGCTCAGGCTCTTTTAAAGCTATTGGAAACAAATTATTTCATGTTAACTAAAAATGTTATCTAAAATCAGGTTATTTATAATGTAACTTTATTTTGCTTATAAAGAACAATTAGATTTAAAAACAACTATTGTACCAAAAGTTTGTAATTTAAAGATTTACTAAGCAAATGGGCTTTGGTCTCAACATTCATACTACTGCTGTTTCGAGTCTCACTCCAGCATATGTCAACTGAATACAAGTAAGAGATGGTTCAAGCTTTTAGCTGTGAACTGATCTACATGTCTAGCTAGCTTGACTGCACAGGCGTTATTCTGTGGGAAAACGACTTTGACTTCTTCTCAGTTATAGGGATTCTGTCATAGATTCTCTACTGGAATCACATTTTAAGTTTTTTATAGGACCCGTGTCACAACTTAAGCAATACAAATGACTCATTTTTGCATCTTTTTCATTTCAACAGGAGACGGAAGAATGGGAAGAAATATTCCATCTCCACTTCTGATCGGCCGAAATGTTCTGCGCTGAACTATATCGCAAACATAAGTAAAACCAAAGAGAAAGCTGTGGGATGGAAATATATAAAACGAAATATATTGCTGATCTTTAGATTTTAAAATTGTCTGCTAAGCTGCAGTTCATTTTCATCTTTTACTTGCTAGTTCTTAGATATCTGCAACTTCTGCATGTGAAGATACTATAAATAAAGCTCTCATATGTTTAACGAGCGTGCCACTTTCTGTGTTACTTATGAACGTGTTATTAGAACGAATGGGAATTTTGCAACGAAATGGAAACTGCATGTCTAAGCGGTCATTGTCACTTGAAGAGTTGTTTAAACTAGACAGAAAATTTACGCAAAAATTTCTTTGCTAACGAATAGAAACCCGAGACTGGCTTCGGAAGTTTCTGCTGAGATTCTCACGTTCGAGTTCTTCTTCATTGGTGTTTTCATCAGAATTATAAACTAGAAAACACCGAGCAAGGCGGAGAAAACGTCAAAACTCATCACAAGCACCAGAAAATATTAATAGATTAGTTCACTCGTCATTCCTTGTTGAGTCTATTATAAACCCCATCCACATGAAATATAAAGGCTGTTAGACAAATTCGTCTTTCTTTCTTTGGTATTAACGTGATCGATTAGCTGTAGATGTTGAAACTACTTACAGAAACTGTGTGGAAAAAGGAATTACTCTAGATACCTCGTGACAATACTTTGTCTAATCTGCACCTCCCATTTCATGTGGTGACTGTTGTATTGAGATTGAAAAAGGTGCCACTTGACAAAGCAATAAATCATGGACAGGTTTCCACTTCTTTTTCTTCTCATTTTCCCCCTAGTTTTTGTAACTAAAGGAAAGACGATCAATCCTTTTCAAAAAAACTCCAATGAAATCAAAAGAAGAGTCGTTTTTGGTGAACACGTTTTCCGAAAGGAAGATAATCTCAAAAGACATGAGGTGAGGCCCATTGAAGCCGGCTACAACCATCAACACTCCCGCGAAAATAGCAGGTCAGCCAGTCGTAAGCGAATGAGACGTTGCTTCTGTGGGCTTTCACTGAGTGCCAGTTGCCCAAATGGATACCTAGAGACGCATATTCAGTGGAATGACCTTCCAGCCGGTCCGCTAGTGTCTCCTCACTTTCCAGCAGCGGGACCTCCATACGATGTTGGAGATGAATGGGCTTGGGTACAGGACAAGTATGATGGCGACTTACAGCAAAATGAATATGGTTGGACCTGGAAGGAAAGGTTCAATGGCAATAATCTGGAGGAGCCTCAGCTAGGTGGATATCCGTGCGGCCAGCAAGGATGGTGTTGTAAGTTGAATTGGCAAATGTTGTAAGTTAAATTAACAAACTGCCTAATTGTAAGTTAAATTAGTTCAAACACAAGAACAACATAACGATCAAATTTCTTTATTTTGTACTGCCACTGTGCACTCCAGTTCATCGGGTACAAGTGTTTTGCTGTGAGGTCGCCCGGGCCAAATGTTGACAAATGTTCAGTTCAGTTTGGCCTGGGTTCTTTGGAACGTCCAGCGTCTCTATGGACGTTTTCGAGTCAAGATGGAACATGAATTACACTGTTGATGTCCACAATACATTCAATAGACGGAAAATGGTTATTATGAAACGCATTGCATTTTATTTTCTTCTTTTTAGTAAAATTATGTACACAAATAGTGCCATCTAAGCGTATATTAAACATGGGGGCTGAAAGATGGCAATAGTGACAAACAACAAAGCCAAATACGTAGGCTCTCCTAACCTCTCAAAAGTACTCAAAAAACAAAGAAACAGTGACCGTATACTCCAAAATATTGCCTGCAAGTGACAAATTGTTTGTTTTACAGGTTGTGGAGAGGCAGGAAAACAAAACGACAAAGCATCTAACGCTGAACGTGTAAAACCAAACAAAGGTGTTCAGCAACCCAAACAAAAAGACAATGACCGCATTATCATAAACATTGCCAGAAAAGAGTTCAAAAAGCGCTCTTGGTAATGACCTGTTTATCACAAATCGGTCTGGTTTTGGCAGATTAATAATTTTAACAAAAACAAGCCAGCAAGTGGTAAAAATCTTGGCTATTTTTAGCGTTTTATTTAGGTGTGTAACCGGGTGTAATGCATAAACCTAGCAAACATCAATCACTTGTGTGCGAGGCATTTGGACAGTAAATTCTTCATTCGATTATTTTTCTTCGTCTAGATTTTGTCTTGTAATTTAGATCTGTGCTTTTAAGTTGAATAATTACCGCATGTCATAATGGGCGTGATCAACCGCTTTCCACGAGGATAGCAATAGTAGTACCACAAGCAAGGTATTGTTCAGTTCAGGTCAAAAAAAATGACTGAACTTCTTATAGAGTCTTTATGTCATTCCGACATAAAAAAATGGAAAATAAAATTATTTTCTTTAAAAAACATAAAGAAACAATCTCTGAAAAAGAATACATCCTTAAAAAAGAGTAGGTAAATTTAATGTATTTCTATTAAATGAGTTAGGAAGAAACGTCACGAGGTCTTGAAATGTTAATGAGGGGATGGGTGATTGTCAAAACATTCCTTTGATGTTTATAAGTTTACAAATCTGACCTCAAAGACATCTAGGTAAGACTTTCAGCGACAAGGCAACTTAAAACTTCGCTCCGTCAAGTCATTCGAGAGTATGGCGTGTTCGTTGCTTTTCTATTTAAAAGTTTTTAGTCTGTGCTTCGTTGGCGTGACAGTCGCCCTTGAACAAACAGAGAGCACTCTAAAGAGGAGTCGAAGAGAAGCACTTGACATTAATCAAAACGTACAGGCAGTTAACTCAGGAAAAGACAAGGAACCGGCGGACGGAACTAAGATCAACGACAGCAGGAGGAATCAACGACCAAAGAATGTGAAGAAGTTCCAAAATAAAAGAAGATGCTTTCTGGGTTCTCCGTATGACTGTCCAGTGGGATTCGAAGACAGTCTTTTAGACTGGCCACGTCCCTGGGGATGGGGACCAGGTCCATTGTACCCGGAATACGGGCCGGATTTATATCGAGGTGGTTGGGGAGGACATGGAGGTCCTTTTGGATGTAATCAGTTTGGAAGTGGAGGGCCATGGAGAGTGCCCGGATGTTCTCGTGGCTGTGGTAACCATGGCTGGTGCTGTAAGTCATTCATTACCATATAAAATTCAACTCAGCGATTAAAGTTCATCTTCACTCTTCTCAAGCAGTGGATATTTTTGTCGCAAGATCGCACAAAAATGATAAATCATATTGCTTACGCTGATCTTAGTAAGATTTTGTCTAACACGTGTTTTGCTATTTACCCGATACGATTTCCTTTAAATAAGTTAAATTAAATTGAAATATCGTATCAACAGACAAAGACAGCTTGGTTTATTAAATTATTCTCTTTCCTCTCCATAAACAATTAAGCAATTTTCTTTAGAGCAGGATAATCCTCTATTTGGTGCACTATTACGGTTACCTTCCGTGCTGAGAGATCGGCTGAGCTTAACTAGCGTCAATTTGTAATAAGATGAGTGGTGAGTTATTGCGTATTACCTTCTGTACGTAATTCTTTATTCTAAAATTATCGACGTTCATTTAGGTTGTGGTCAAGAAGGTGGAGGCGGAGGAGGTGGCGCCAGTGACTGTGCTCAGTTCAATGATGCTCCCCCATCCCAACCGACACCAAACAAGGCCGGAAGCCCACCATTACTCCATCCTTTTATGGGAAAACAAGCTAATTCCAAAGGTCCAGGTGAAATAAAACAAGGAAAGAACATCAATGTTCAACGTGGAAGAAAGCGCCAGGACATCACGTACGGTGCTGCACCTGATGTAGTGCAGGCACCCCCTGTTTACGACGACCCTTATCAGTCAACATATGGTAACTGGCAAGTCCCCCAGCAAACATCACCGGTTGACCAAGTCGTGGGAGGTCTATTCTTTTGGAATATGAACGGAAAAAATATGCCAGCTAAGAAACAGAAACGAAAACATTGATGGTTTGTTGCACCCTGGAAAACGTTCTCTTTGTTAATTGCCGATACATGTCCACAGACGCTTCAAAGTCGAAATGTTCCATAGAAGATAGACTATCGCGCGTAGTAGAAAGGTTAAGTTTAATTTATCGCTCTAAGAACAGACTCAATCAATTTGATATTTCGCGGTTGTAAGGCTCCACCGTTACATCCATAGTCAAGTTTCTTGCTTCATAGTGTTCTGGGACTGTGGGAACCCTGTCGCGCCGATGTAGATGAAGATTGCATCGAAACCTGTACTTTTGCCTTACCACCCATATTTGTATTTTATCTTATCGCCCGTATCTTGTAAACGTTGCGGGTTGCTATTGTAAATGATATAAAATTTGTAGAATAAGTAAAAATAGCTTACAGAAAAGTGCTATAAATGCAAGCTAGGAGGAAACAATCAATAAAATATCAATCAGATCAATAGAAGACTTAAATATATCTACTTTAACTTACTCACACTCCATTGCTGTCCCTCACTCCCTTAGTCGTTCTTTTTTTCTGGTGGATTTACACATGCTAAAAAATCGAAGGGGGTGGGAGGGATGAGATAAATCATTTAAACCTTTTAGAAGGAAGGATGATAGCTGCTTTCTTGCTAGATTTTATGGCAAAACTGCAAAAGAGAGGCGACGCGGTTCCGTCGGACGGGGCTTTCTTCTCTTTCAGTTGCTGTAAATCTTGTAGCATTCGATAAAAAAGTGAACGGCGTACGCACGGTCCATCCGGCTTCCGATGTTTAGTAAACAAAAATTTGTTTTCCATCAAACTGCAACTCTGAGTACTCCACACATTAGCAACAGACAGTGAAACCTCGATTTAACCAACCGGAAATAAAACGACGTCCTTGGTATAACGAACGATGTTCTTCGCCCCAAGTAATTAAGAAATATATGGAAAAGAACCTCGATACAACGAAACGTCGTTATAGCCCTGGCCATTCATTATATCGAAGTTCCCCGTGTATCTCAAAGATGATACTAACTGTCCTTCCTTCTGAGCATTCGTAAGGATATCCCTGCTAACATCATCTCTTCTTCGAAAATCGCATCTTGGAAAACTATCGACGGTATATATTCTTATCAATAGGGAACTCTTTTGTTATGTTCCGGTTAGGAAAATCATCCTCGCTAAAAGGCGCATCGGTAAAGTATCTTCAATAACTTTTTAAAGACGTTTGGATCGTCACACGTTTTTATCAAATTTCTTGAATATCTCTGGTATTGATAACTGCAATATTTTTCTTGATGTTTATCAAAGATGCCATGGAAACAAAAAAGTCCTAAAAGTTCTCCTTAATATTGGCTTCATTCTGGAACACTCACTTAAAACAAACTTGGGTCATGACTTTTTCGTCCCTTAGGTGATGGCTATACGTACAAGTCAACAGAAAGTTTTTTTTGTGCTCAGTTAATACATGGGTGGCTTAATGATTGGCCCGCTGGACGCCGGGTTCGATTCCTGGCTAAGGTTATTGTGTTGAGTCCGTGGGAAGGACACCCTACTCTTACAGGTTTTATCTCCACCCAGAGGGATAAATGGACAAATACTGGGGAGTAACGTGAGATGGACATGGAGTGGAGTAGCATACTCCAAGCCGCTTCAAACCACAGGAACCGAAGTTTCGCGCCGAGAACTTTGAGGCAGCTGGGCTCAAGAGACTTTATCTTACAACCAAAGTTTAAATAAATCGGTAAAACAGGTCAAGAAGCGCGGAATTAAAAAGGACAGTCTTGAAACTTTTTGTACCGAAAGCTGTTTCAAGGATTATAAGCAACTGCTGCACTGAGGTCGTGTGGCAGTTATTTTTGGAATCTGGACCTTTAAACTAGGAGTCAAGTAATGCGGGCTGGAATCCCAGGGGGTGGGGGAGGGGGAGGAAGATATTCACACCATAAGAAATTTTCATGGGTTTAATTTATGGGAAAACGCGTGGTTGGTCCGCGCGATCACTTACTCTCCGCCATCTTGTATGGGTACCAATGACTAATAAGTGCTCGTCTCGGATTCATAACATTTGAAAAAAAAAACCTCACTGGTGCCCGCCTCAACTACGCTGTAGAGTAGCTACAAATTCTTTAATGAAAAGCTTTTAAATGACGGCAACAGTTCAGCAGTTTGAAATTTATTGGTGGAAGGACTTTGACGCAAAACTGCGGATAATTAGGGAAAAACGTTGAATTATGGTGAGAAAGTTTAGGACCGAACATAAAGTAATTTAATATTACCGTGCTTCTATTCTATCAGTTTCGCTCATTAACCGTTTTTTAGGGTTTCTTTCAATTCAATATACACTGAATTCAGAATGTTAGAAATAAGCAAAACTCTTCACTTGGTGAATATCTTCCAGAGGTTTTCTAGCTATCGACTAGAAACCGAAGAAGTTATTACCCATACTAGACGGGTGCGTGCGGAATAACAATGAAGCCACCTAAAATGTTCAATTAAAGGGGCGTAACTGTTTATGTGAGACATTAAAGAACAGACAACATCCCAAAGGATTTTTGTCTCAATAGACTTCCGAAGATAGGTTGTGAAATGGAATAAACGCAGCGAAAACGTCAGTTCCTTCATTCAGTTTCACTCGTTTTGTTTGTCATTGTTGCTGTATCGCTGATCAAATCTCGTTGTTCTAGTTATTTGTGAAAATGATGTCATATATTTTCCTAGAAGAGTATCCTAACATTATGTAATGGTCAGAGGTCCCGATGACACGACAAAGAGCTCACAAAACGTCAGGGTAATCATGAACTCTGCCAAGCTTTTGCTCACGATTTGTTTCTATGTCGTGATCTTTGAAACGGATGCTTTGCAAAGATTCCATCGGAAACCCTATAACTGGTATAACGCTATAGATGAGCTGAGTGACGCCATAAGAATCCATCATCGAAACAAAGCTCGCAAATTTGATATGTCTGGCCTTCGAAACTGTCACATTAAGCGGAAACTTACGGGCCTCGCCAATAAAGCACACGTGACTCCAGGACCTCGTCGTTTTTCAAAGCGGTGTTTCCCTGACGGTTACGGAATTCCCCCCATAACTTCCCTGCCATGGTGGCCTTCGCCTTTTGACCCTCAGTGGCCAGAATACGGTTTGGGAATGGACGGATACGGCTATTCTATCCCAGGTCCATATGGCTGGAATGGATGTGAAACCTGCAATCAACCTTTTCCATGCTTTCCTAGTCCATGGGGGATTTGGTGTAGTGAGTATTGTTTGAAGAGCCCTTCTATATAATAGAGCTGTTCTCACTTGAGTGTCGAATGTTATTCACATTTGCTTTGGTTTTGCATTATTTCGCTACTTGATTGGCTTAAAAAACTAGTCCTAGTTTGTCAGCCAACCAGAAGAACGAAATTCAATCGTGCGCTTACTGCGTTTCGCGTCGGCTACATGAGTTAGGGTTAGTGTTTCAGTGCTTTGAGTTTCGATTGGTTCATTGGATTGTCTGTGTCATTAGCGACTGCCTTTGGTTTGCTTTTAAGACAATCAGTTGACAACTACTCCAATCTAGCTTTATTAAATCAGATATTACCTTCGTATGCATTTATTCAATTGGTTTCGGTGTAAAGAGAAGTCTGCTTCCAAAGAAAGCGAGAACAGCCTCTGCTGTTTATTAATTGATTTATCCATCTGTCTTTAGTTGACAAATTTAATCCTAGGAAATTTGCATACTAAATTTGATTAAATCTTTCTACTATTCCGCTATTCTGGTGACTAATTTACACGACCACTACTGGCCATCACCAACATCACTATAGTTCATCTTTAATTAATCATAGAAAAACCAACTAATGTTCTACTTTTAACTAATTAAAAAAGGTTGCGGTGGAGAGGGCAAAGAAGAATCAGGTGCCCCGGGACCCACGCCTTCTGGAGAAAGTCAGAAACCAACAGAAGGACCGGCATCTCAGACTACAACGGGCATCAGTCAACCACCATCTACGCAACCCACTTCTTCTGCCACCACATCACAAGCACCAACAACGTCCAAGAATTCAGAAGCAACCAGCCCAACTAGCGGGGGTCAGCCTACTATTGGAAAACAAACCAGTCCAACGGTTAAGGCTACAGGTGGTACCGCCCAAGCGCCATACATACAGCCCACTTCACCGGCAGGGTCAACCAGCCCCACAAGTGCCAGTGGTAGGCAGTCTACCGTCCGCACACTAGCAACCGCCATAGATGATGCACGCAAAACAGCGGCAAAGCTACCCGCCCATAAACCAACGTCCCGTTATGATGATTTCCGCAAATACAAAATGAGGCTCTCGAAGCAAGGTTTGCGACGGAAGGGGAATAAGAATGGAGTTGTAATGGTAATGTAATTTTTGTGATCTCAGAGCTTCAAATCCAAAGCTAGTAGAGTTCATTACTTAAAAAAAATAATTATTCGCCAAAGATCAAGTACACGTTGTTAAGCTGTTCTTTTAAAACTTAAAGGAAGTCTGCAATTCTGCAATGTGGATTCCGTGTGACCGAAAAGTAACTGTGGGAAGCTCTTTTATCTTTAGCTGGAACTGTCGGACAAGATTAGAGTAGATCATGTTGGCCATGAAAAAAGTATAGCCAAAAACTCAGCTCAAAACCTAAGAGGGTGGGGATCTCAGCAAAACTTTGCACAGGCTCCACCCCGAGACCCAAACCTTAATCCTTTAATATACCATTTTCGGCAGAAGAAGTAACTCTTTCATACACCTTCAGCAGATAAACTTAATCTCTTTTGCAAACTTTTTAATGGAGTAACCTAGGAACATTAAGATTAGTAGGCGTTTACTGCTTCTGGTCGATATATTTTCAAAGGCCCTTTTAGATTGTTAAATAATAGTTACTTGACGTTAACTCCTGAAATCCRTRCACTTTATAAACCTTTACATTACCATTAACCTTTTGGACGTCTAGATAACAAAGGGCTGCACACTTTATGACGTCTTTGGTGGTACCATTCAACGCAGTAACTCTTTTTAGTAACTCTAGGACGTGTTTTGTTGTTTGGGATTAAGCTCAATAAAACTTAGAAAAATAATGTTAAAAGAATGCTTGAATAGTTAAATGACTCAATATATTGTAAGCAAACGGCTCTAAGCAAGTCACTCTCCGGAAAAACCCAGTACTGATAAACGGATCCCGAAGATATATCACGGAGAGAAAACCGAATAGGAAAGTGTTGGAACAATTTGACCGCTATTCACGAATAATTCTGCACCTCTAATTAACTACTAGAATGTTAGAAATAATACAATGTGTTAAAATTCCAGTCAAGCACATCTGAAAGGCCTGACAAATCATGTTACACCTGAAACCTAGGCTCGATTTAGGCTGCGTGCTCGTACAAGTTTCAAGTTATAAATTATTCAATATAAAATAACAGCAAGAAAACAGCAACGGTTGACCACCAAAGTTTTTCTGCATCTGCTTATTTGATTTTGATTCTGCTCGTTGTGTTATTTTACTTTAAAAACATAAATTAATCTCTACGCAATTCAGTGACATGATGTTATTTGAATTCGTGCTTTAGATTCTGAATGAAGTACAAAAAAAACTGACGCTCCAGCGTTTGCTTTACCTTCAAAAGTATCTAATAAACTCAGATATCACCTGTGGAAAATACTTCACTTGAGGAGATGTCCCCAGTTATGACACAATAAACTGTTCAGTGGTCGTTATTCAATGTCATCATTATATTTAAGCAAATGAGCTAAGTGTATTTGCGATGCCAAGAGAATCAGATTTTATCTTTACGACGCCTGCACCAGAACGGACTTTGTGAATTCCGTTAGCTTTCCCTTTTCTTTTAGAGTGAGAGGAGGCAATTTCATCCAGGTCAAATCCTTGCTCTTCTGACGTAAAGTCTCTAAATATTGCATTTTCATCTTTTTCCGGTTCACGAGAGCTCCAATGGTTGTTAACGTTTCTTTGCCTCTTCTCCACGGTAGACCAGAAGTGATCTGTGTTAAATTCACTCTTGTATTCAGGGTAATTGGTTTCTTCGTCCTCTTTTTCCGTTGGATTGAAATTCAAAACTTGGTCTACTCCTATTCCGAGATTTGTTCCTTGTATGCGTTCCTCAGCTCCTGTTTGCTTTATTGCGCCTGATTTTAACGTTTCCTTTGCATCTTCTGAGTCACCGACCATTTTTCGGTCCTGTTCTTGGATCCCATTATACTCCTTATGATTCTTTATCTTGTTTTTGCTGTGCGTGAAGTCTTCGTGGAGTTTTTCTGGTCGGTCTAGAAGTTCAACGTCAGAGCTTAGATCATTATAATCTCTAAAAGGTGGTCTGGAACTGAAAGGATGATTGGAATGGGTAAACTGCACATCCCCAAACTGATATTCAGGATAGTGATGAATATTTCTCATATCAGACGGATTCATATACCAAGGAGCCTTCCGTCTCAAGAAATGGGGGAAGTACCCTTGAAATCGCCAGTAAGAGGGATGAGAATACGTCATGGTATGAGGCATATAATGTGGAAAGTAATGAGGATGAGGATGCATGTGAAACGGATGAAGGGGTCTGTGCATGTAAGGTACCCATGGTCGGTGGTGAATTGGTTGACCCACAATAACCTCTTGTTGTTCTGGTTCTGTAGTCTTGGGTTCATCACTCAGCTTTAACTCCAAGTCTATCTTTGGCCCTTCCTTGCTAGAATCCTTCCCGGTCTCCTTCGGTTTTGAGTGTTTGTGTTTGTGTCTGTCTTTGGAGGGTTTTGGACGCTTTTTCACAGAAACTGCCGCTGGGTGTGCTGCTGGTAAGCTTGTGATGTCAAACCGCTTGGCAGCGGTGATTCCTTCGCTAGGTTGGTGTGCTTCGCTGCAGCTTGACGTTGAGCCTATCACAATCAAGTACATTTAGTGTCATGTGAACGTCAAGAATTAATTTAATTTACAACTTCTCACAACTAAGAAATTACATTGTACTATTATATATGTTCAAGTCTGTTTGTTGTTATGGGGAATTCTGTTCCTGTATTTTACTCTAATTTGGAATTGCTCGCGATAAAAGAAAACATTTCGTATCTATGCGATTGTCAGTTTCTTTGCGTAGGTCCTCTCTACTGTGCAAATGTCATGCACTGTGATTATAAAATGAAGTAATTTGTCGACAAGGGTAAAGGAGACACAAAGAGTAACTTACAGCAAACAGTCGAAATAGGAAATCCAATTCCAGAGGCACAACCAAATCCTCCACAGCATGTTGCCTTCATGGGACCACACGGTCCCCCAAGAAACACAACTCCCTGTCTAAAAGGACAGTTAGAGAAACACGATAAGCTGGAAGGGTAACGTCGGTTTTGGAACCCATGGTTGGTAGATGGACCGCTATTAGTGTTTTCCTCATTTTTCGTAATATTCAATGCCTCTAGAAGGGCGCTTGGACCAACCTGGCGATTTTTGGCCAGGCCTATGTTAAAAAGCACAAGGAAAAGATAGAAAACAACTTGCGTTTCAAGTTGTAAAAACCTCATCACAATTTATAAGCACAAGAATTTTGCTTTATATGATAAGATAAAAAAGATACTGCGTTTCAGGTACCTCTATAATTTGGGTGGTTAATATTGATCAGTGAGATCACACGGTTTATGTGGTAATAATTGCTCATTTACATGACAAAAATTACAGGCCTCCCGTCAACATTGTTCTTGACATAAAAATCGTCAACTTCCTCAAAACCATTATCAGCATACTTTTAGATAGCCCTTTTGAAAATTCTTTTTTCTACTCGTTAATATTATGAAATGAAATTTGCTTCACAAAATGCATTTGTAAATAGGTTTGAAATGTTTTAAAATTGACGCTGTTCAAACCATTTGCATGGCTCCTCCCACAAAGCTGGTACATGGTGACAGGCGTTCGTCT